TATAATTTTATCAATAATTTAATGAAGTCGTTTTCTAAAGTGAAACCTTTAGATAAAAGACTTTAAAAAAAGAAAATATTAAAGAGTAATTTTTGTCATTGTTAAATTTCTAAAGTGAGACCTTTAGAGAATTAAGACAATTCTGGAAAGTGGGAAACATTTCCGCTGACTGCAACTGCTGTCATGTTGCTCAGCTGAAGAGGAACATCTGTGAAAAGTCTCTTTCCAAGATGGCCTCTCCTTCCTCAGCACCGCTTCTTCTCCTGCTGCGCGTGCTTCTACGTGGCGACATTTGCTCTGTGGGACCACAGGATGCAGAACTCGCTTCTCCTTCCTCTCCAAACCTCATCCGCACAAAGAATGAGGGTCGACGTTGTGTCGCCCCCTGCCGCACGCCCGACCTCGTTCACAGAAAGAATGAGAGTCATCTTGGCGTGGACCGGTGCAGGGGGCCGACGGTGACACGGCGCGGTGGCCCCCCTCGGTTCGGGGGGCCGGCGCCGTGCGGCCTGGATGGGGAATCCTCCTCAGGAGCATCCAGGGATGAGCCAGAAACAAGATCATCCTGGTCATCAGGATGAGTATTTCCAGGTAGGAATCGAGCAGGTGAGGAGCAGAGTCCGGCTCAGCGCTCTGGGAGGCTGATCTCAGGGACCCAGTCGTTCAGGCGCCGACTCTCCTCACAGAACAGGTGCAGCTTCTCCAGAGTGGGGTCCTCCCAAGACCCATCGGCTGGGTTCTGTTCAAAGAAAAGAACAAGTTTAGAACATAGTTCTGCGATAAAATCACCACATTTCATCTAAAAAATATATATTTGTGAGGTGAAGCTTATTATCTCCTGTTTATGCATGCTGGACCTTTGGGTCTCAGCCCCCCTGACCCCCTTCTTGGTGTCGCCTCTGCTCCTAGACGTACCGTAATGAGGACGCAGTGCGCGTCTTCCAGCTGCTCGGCCTTGTCTCCGACTATGTCGGCCAGACGCTGCATGTCGCTGACTCTGACGATGCTGATGTCGTTGTCGAAGCAGAAGGACTGGATGAGGGTGAAGTGGATCTGCAGAGCGATGTCCCACTCAAACTGCTCATCCGTGGCCAGGACGCAGAAGGACACGCTGTCCGGGTCTCTGCAGGAGGGGAAAAAAAGAAACAAATCTGATCAGAAACTGTCTGCAGACACGTAAAAATGTCGCAGCCGTCACTACATCTCCATACTTACAGGTTCATAACTTTGGCGCACTCGTAAACTCCCACGGTGAGAGAGTCGTTGTCTTTGGCCGAAACCAGGACCTCTTCCAGGGCTGCGCCCGCGCACTGCGCGCGCTCGGCGGGTTTCTGGATCAGAACTTCCTCAAAAGTCATGATGCGGGCGGTGGAGATATTCCAGCAGATTCAGGAGAAGGTTTGGAGCGGAGTGTCCACGGAGGCGCACAGCGGCTCTACTTATAGGCCTGAGCTCGCGTGGAGCAGTGAAAGCGCTGCGCTCTGATTGGCTGAGGCTGAACGGTGCATTGGTATGATAATGCTATTGTCACACTGTGGCTCGTGGCAGATTGATGGGGGTCATGGGGACACGCACGCTCCCCTTCTGCACGCCAACAATCGCAAAAAACAAGAGATTTCTGCAGAAAGCAAACTGAGCAAAGTTTTAGTTTAATAAGAGAGAAACAGAAGCTCCACTTCAGGACTTCATGCATGAATAAAATCAACAAAAAAATAACTTTTTTCTGGATTTCTAAACTCAAAATGCAACAAAGAAATGCGCACTTCTAGCGTTGCTTGTAAACGCATTAAATACAAAAAATTATTATATTTCCAACTAAAATCTCTAAAGTGAGGAGGGTTATTTTGAAGCGACAAACAGAAAACTGTGGATTCCCCCCCCCCCTGCAGCAGCAGCAGCAGAGAGAGAAAGGGCAGGTGGATGAGATCAGGCCATCTGTGGACTATAGAAGCAGGCCATAAAACGACCCTCATTGTTTGCACAGAAGCCCCACTTTTTACTATTATCTCACCCCCCCACCCCTAACTCCTTCATACAAATGCAAATGCAGAGCGCGTGCCAGAACTATGCATGCTCCTGCTGGCCCACGCAGACCACGTGGCCATCAGCTGTGCACATTTTTTTGTTTATTTACACTTTGGGCTGTTGGAGTAATGCAGCTTTTACGCAGGACTTGGTCTGTTCTGCAGCAGGTCCTGCAAATGCAGAAACATTCATATGTGGCATGATAACTCCATAAAAACACACATTGATGTCTAAATTTGTAAATTAAAATAAAAAATGAAAATGCATTTAGGTTTAATGTTTGTTCCCTGTATCTGTGACATCAGATCTTCACCTGTGAGAACATAAGTTTAGAAGTCATGAATACAAGTTAGATAGTTGCAACTTATAAGTACACATCACAAATTCAGGAATTTAAGAGTTTGGGTAAAAACTTAAAGAGAAAGAGTCACAAATTCACTAATAGGATTTAATAAATTACAATTATGAATCAGAAATTTCTGAGTACAAATCCAAACTTACGTGTATGATTCACCAATTAACAGCTGTTTGCACAAATTTAAAAGTAAGAGTGACATATTTGTGGTTAAGAATCAGAAATCTACAAATAAGAATCACAAATATATATATAAAAATCTGAACTTTATCGGTACCAAGCCCAAATTTACAGGTTTAAAATCACAAATTTATGAGTACTAATCACAAATGTATTAATAAAAATCACAAAATTAACAAGTATGATTCTCAAATTTACTTGTTTTACTTGTGTGATTCATAAATTCATAAATGCGAAGCACAAATTTACAAGTGTAACAGATTTAGAGGTAAGAACCAGAAATTTACAAGTACGAACCAAAAAATTATGACGACAAAGTTATAAGTTTGTTATTTGTTCTTGTATTTATAACTTCCGAACTTGTATTCTCACAGATGAAGGTCTGATGTCACATGTATCTATAAATTGACAAAAAGGAACATTATTTACTCAATATTTACATTCAGTGTATTCTCATTATCAGTTCGTATGAAATCGTACGAAAAGTTATGCACCGTAATTTCTTACGTTTTAGACGTTTTTTTTCGTGTTTTTCGTCGTATTTTTACGTCTTGCCTCGAGACAAGATATCCTTGCGCATGCGCATCTTACGCACCATTCAATAACATAAAATTTAACATACAATTAACCCTAACCCTAAGATACAAAACAGCAAGCAACGTAGTTAGAGACATGAAGAAGTAATTATTGCACTGTTTTTCCCCGTTTTCCGTCCTTCCGCGGATCTGCTTTTTTCGTCTGTCTGGCTGCGAATGCGCACTGATCTGTTTTTTCGAGGAAAAACGTCAAAAACGTACAAAAAACTGTGCATAACTTTTCGTACGATTTCATACGAACTGATAATGAGAACAGGGGGCGATTTACCATTAGGCAATACTAGGCAGTTGCCTAGGGCCCCAAGTTAACCAGGGCCCCCATAAAACTCTATTAACATGTACGGTTAATACACCTATTCCTTACTTGTGCACTTTAATTATGTTTTTGATAAAAAATCCTTTCGCTAAAAGGACAGCAGTAAACCATTTGAAAAAAAATGATGCAAAGAGCGGTTTCGCACTTGAGCGACTTTTCAGGGCCTTGCGCCAAATCTTGTGACTTTTTTCTACTACTGGAGACTTTGGCGACTACATTCATAGGGCCCCCTGCCTGTCTTTGCCTAGGGCCCCAATTTTCCTAAATCCGCCCCTGAATGAGAATATGTTGCTACATTACTGACCTTCATTCTTTCAAACATTTATAACATTTATACCAATCATTTTACTGGCAGGTTGTCAGAGGAAAGCTCTGTGTTTACACCTTGAAGCTTTCCCTCTCAGTCCGTCTTCCCGAAAAGAGATCACTCAGGACAAACTCTTTAAATAACACTTAATAACTTATATGTATTATGAGCACTTTCGTCTGGTTTGGTCTGCCGCGGTTTCCGTAGACTCTTGAACGCTCTTTTAGGAAATCCTATACACTACTGTTTATGCTCTAAAAACATTCTAAATAACTTCGTTTCGAGTAAATTCTGGATGCTACCCACTCAGGAAACTTGGAATACATCGGACGAGCAGTATGGAGGAATATTGACACGTTTTTTGTGGACTTTTATGGACCTTTCTGCCTCGGGCGCCATAGACCTCCATTATTTGAATGTCAGCAGACAGCAAGAAGCCTCCCAGATCTCCAGATGCATTTGAGATATCAAAAAAGTACTCCAGAGTGTTGTTCAGCATGGGGGTGAGTAGAAAATGAAGGCTAATCATGTTTTGGGTGTACTATTCCTTTAATACCTGCTTTTTAAATCACCTTCTGTCCAAAACGTCACCCATGGGGGTGTGGTTTCACTTTTACGCACGCCCCTGTCTCACTTTTTGTGCAAATCCTCCAGTGTATTTGCACTTTTTATTTATTTGCATACATTTTTATAAAAAAAAAAAACGCACATTTTGCATGAGGCATGCCTGCTGCTGCATGAATAGCTGAGGAGGGGGACACGAGTTGGCGCAGATTGATTCAGCGCTATTGTCCTGCGGCAGATGGAGAACTGTCGCTATGAAAGGGCTGCTCCTCCTCCTCCTCCTCCTGTCAGGCCCAGGTCAAACCTCGACCCCCGGCGGTTCTGCCCAGCTTTTGTCTCCAAACCCTCCAGTCTGCTGTCTGAGTTTTGAGCAGATCCGAAATTCAGCAATGGAAAAGTTTTTAGTCCTTTTAGTTTTGGCTGCACACACCTTTTATTTACCAGCAACATCAATCTTATTTGCACCATTTTTTTAACTGCACCAACATGTTTGTTTGCACACTCTCATTTCTTTCTGTAAGTGCGGCTGGATTCCGGAAGGTTGGCCTCCGGGGATCATCCGACTGATCCGGACAGATAGGATCATGGCAACAGGCCGGGCGCGTGCAAATCGATCCAAGGCTTTTGTCGCTGCAGCACATCTGCTCAGTGGACCCCCCCTTTTCCTCCCCCCCTCACCCTTCCTCCCCCTCCACCTCCAGCAGAGAGCGACAGGTGTTCAGTCCAAACCTGCGGGTTCGCCCCGAACCTTCCTTTAGATCAAACACAGTTGCTGTTTTGGTCTAACCTCCATCCACGGAGGACATTTCTTTAATCTGATGGAAGAAGCTGCGGCTGCATGTCTGCGTTTTGTTTGACTCCGAGGCTCAGCAGGTGCTGCCTTTGTCCACCGTCCCCCTCCGGGGACAGATGGTGTCCCTCCGCAGCTCTGATAAAGAGAGATAAAGCACGTGACCACCCGCCCCCAGATACCGCCACGCGCCTGGAGTGAGCAAGCAAAAGGCACCGGCGCGTGCCACTTCCTAATCTACAAAGAGAGAAGAAAAAACACGCCGTGAAATCACCCACGGAGGTGTTACTATAAGTCACACTTCCCTGTTCTTGTTTCCATCATTCGTTGTGACTTTAATCCCTCATTACCTTTAAAATAAACCTCCATGTTCTGCTCACAGTCAGTCTGTTTGACATTTCTATAAACTGACATGTTGTTTTCACTATTTTAGGCAAAACAACTAAAGGTCAGTCAGGTTGTTGAAAACTGGAAGTTAAATATAAATATTTGGCAAACATTAAGTTCATACTTCAAATTAATTGGAAAAAAATCACACTTTGTAATAATAAGTGAATTTGTATCTAGCTGATATAATCCCAAAAATAAGCCCATCGTGCAACTATTCACTGCATAAACAATATGTTGTTACTTA